TAAAGTACACAAAAATGCCACACACACCCCCGGTAGACCTATTATCAGTGGCATCGGGTCACTCTGTTCTAAAGTTGGACAGTACATTGATTATTTTTTACAACCTCTGGTCCTTGCTACTCTAGCTTATATTAAAGATACTAAACAAGTATTGAATGAAGTTAGTACCTTAAATTGGAATCCTGAGTTGACAACTTTCCTGGTGACAGCTGATGTTGCATCGCTGTATAGTAACATCAACCATGATGATGGCATGTCAGCTGCAGACTATTATCTTAATCTGGCTAGTAATGTTTCCGCCACACATAAAACCTTCATTTTGAGTCTTTTGAATTTCGCAATGAGAAGCAACTACTTCTGGTTTGGCAATCATTTCTATCTACAGACCAGGGAGGTAGCAATGGGCGCTAAATTCGCCCCGAGCCTGGCTAACCTGTTTATGGCAAGGTGGGAGGAGGACATCATCTACTCTAGAGGTTGGCCCGAATTGCTATTCTATAGGAGATACATAAATGATGTCCTCCTCCTATGGCAGGGGGAGGAAACTTCTCTCATTAACTTCTTTGGCACACTTAACAACAACGATCTTAACATCAGGTTCTCGTATGAGTACAGTATTAATAGTGTGAATTTTCTGGACATTACCATCTTTAACAAAGGAGGACATTGTAGCACCGAAGCTTACTTTAAAACATCTGATAGGAACAGCTATATCCCGATTGATAGTTGCCACCATCCGCAGTGGCTAAACAGCATCCCTAAAAGTCAATTTATGAGGATAAGGCGTAATTGTACGGAAATCGGGACCTATCATGAAAAAGTAAAGATCCTAAGGCAAAGGTTTTTGGATAAAGGCTACACGGCGGAAACCCTAGATCAGGATATTGACAGGGTAGCCAAACTGGATAGACAGGATATGCTCTTAGGACCACCTAATCCAAAGAAAGATCTGTTCTGTCCTTTCATCACCCCTTACTCTATTCAGCATAAGACAATACGCCACATTGTGACCAAAAATTGGGAAGTACTCAGAGCGGACCCCATTCTCTCTAAGTGCTTACCTACAAATCCGGAAATTATTTTTAAAAGGGCCCCATCACTTCGTAACACCATTGCCCCCAATATACTGGATCCACCCACACATCCTAAATTCTTTGTTAATCTGAGGGGTTTCTTTCCCTGTAAGAATTGCCAAATATGCAAGTATGGTAATAGATCTAAGAGGAACGTTGAATCTTTCGCTTCCACTACAACTGGGAAAGATTATGAAATAAACACGTTCATTTCCTGTAATTCACGTTATGTAGTGTATCTTCTGGAGTGCCCGTGCCAGAAGCAATACATTGGAAGGACTACGAGGCGACTTCGTGACCGCCTTCGCGATCACGTCTATAATATCAAAAGGGGTTTTCGTGAGCACTCCCTATCTAAGCATTACAGGGACCATCATCACAGGGATCCCTCTACCCTTAGGTTTACAGGTATTGATGTTGTACAACACCACTGGAGGGGTTCAAACAGGAGTAGGGAAGTCTCGCGTCTCGAGACTAAATGGACCTTTGAGATGAAATCTATGACACCGTTAGGTCACAACGTAGAACTGGACCTAAATTGCTTCATTGATAACAGCTGAAGCCCGTATATGGACTGACCTCACATATGACAATTTAGTGGTTGGCAGTTCATATAGCCCCCTATATTTACACAACGGTTCTCAATATGTGGTTTTTTTTTTATGAGTGTGTTTAGTGTAATTCTGGTCACTCTACTGTATCTGGGCAGTTGTAACATATATCCTGTTTTAGGTCACTTCCTAAGGAAGTTTTTTTTAAATATTCGCTTCCTCTACATGTGTTTATATGTGTTGATGTATCAATTATAACATCTTGTAGATGCTCCTTTTTATATCTTCTTCCTTTGTAATTAAGGTTTCTGATGTTTTGATATTTTTTATGTACTTATGGATCCGCATTTATTCCAGTGGGCCCAAGGGGGTAATTCTGGTGCGTTATGTCAGTAGACGCATCATAATTATCATCTTTATGATGTATACATTTTATATGAATGTTATATTTTTTAATTTAAGGACCATGGAATATTTTATTATTTTGATATTTTATTATTTCGTTTTTTATATATACATTTTTTTTGGGTTTACACCTTATATATGATTTACTTTATTCTTATTAGTTTTAGGGATACATATATGTACGTATAGTGGATCTCTGCTAGATGGGCGCCCGTGTTTCATGCACATGTGTCATATCACCATGGGTTACAAGGAATTATAAAATTCTGACCCCTCCCCCTTTTTTTATGTCCCAATAAACGGAGAATATATATATACAGTCCCTCCTGTGAGGCATATATTTATCATCCTTTTATGCCCCAATAACCAAGAGTATATTTATGCAGTCCCTCCTGTAAGGTATACAGCTTTTAAATATCTATGGGACTGTCGCCTGACTGTTTTCCTTGCAGCGGTGAATCAGTCATTCTGGCTCCAGTCCCCTCCTTAGCATTTGAATATCTACAGGAAAATGGCGGCCGTCCCGGTTCGCGCAGGCGCACTGGTGATCGGCTGGATGTTTATATCCAACAGAGAAAATGGCGACCGGACCGTTCGCGCATGCGCAGTGGGACACGCGGCGGCGGCCATCTTTAAGGTTCCCAAACTTCAGGAAAATGGCGCCGCCCCCCGCGCATGCGCAGTAGCGCCGATTGTCAGCGAGGCGGCGCTATTGCGGTTTGGCGCGATTTTTAAACATATAAAGAGGCAATCAGACGTCGGGCATGCATGGCATCACCCCTACAGTGGACGTGTATTGACACGAAACGCGTCTAGGAGGAGCCTTTGCACGCCTTGACGTTACGCCGCCGGGTCAGGAGGTCCGGCGGCCCACCCATGGTTTTTACTGGTCAGTGTATAGGATCATCTTTTTTGAAGCTGCATTTACTGGCTACAGGCTGCAGGCATGCGTTTTTGTAAATTTATATGGCTTTACGTTTCGAATAAATAATTTTAAAACATACTACACTATGAGTATTTTTACTCCTTGCACCTGGTACTGAGTTCCCATACCTCAGCCCCAGCAATTTTTAGGCTCTCTGTGTGGATCCAAGGTGCAGTGTGTTCCGACCAGGCCAGCATCGTCACCACCGACGGACCATCTGGGTACTAGAAAGCAGCGCCTACATGGGATTCCGGCTACATGCAATCTGTACATGCGCATTTAAATTGCGCTTCTGGTAAGCAGGCAATTTATCTATTCCTGGGATTGGATTACACCTATATGCCCTGTGATTCCCCCTGCACTGAACTGTTTATCATCTTCAACATTCCTACATCTGACAATTGTTTACACTTTTTGTCATTTGAATATTGTTTGTAGCGCTGCTCTTGTATTTATTGATGATGTGACTGCTGACAAAAGCAGCAGGATGAATTCTGAAGTGTTTCGGGAATATTATCTGCTCATATTCAGCCAAATGCTTCACAACTCATTGGACGCCGCTTCACAGTGCAGATGGACAATGACCCAAAGCATACTGCAAAAGCAACCAAAGAGTTTTTTAAGGGAAAGAAGTGGAATGTTATGCAATGGCCAAGTCAATCACCTGACCTGAATCCGATTGAGCATGCATTTCACTTGCTGAAGACAAAACTGAAGGGAAAATGCCCCAAGAACAAGCAGGAACTGAAGACAGTTGCAGTAGAGGCCTGGCAGAGCATCACCAGGGATGAAACCCAGCGTCTGGTGATGTCTATGCGTTCCAGACTTCAGGCTGTAATTGACTGCAAAGGATTTGTAACTAAGTATTAAAAAGTGAAAGTTTGATTTATGATTATTATTCTGTCCCATTACTTTTGGTCCCTTAACAAGTGGGAGGCACATATGCAACCTGTTGTAATTCCTACACCGTTCACCTGATTTGGATGTAAATACCCTCAAATTAAAGCTGACAGACTGCAGTTAAAGCACATCTTGTTCGTTTCATTTCAAAACCATTGTGGTGGAGCTAAAATGTTAGAATTGTGTCGATGTCCCAATATTTATGGACCTCACTGTGTATATAATAATATAACCACATAACCTACTTTCTGTGCATTTTGGATGCAGAAAAAAAGCAAATGAAATGCATGTAGTGTGAACTGGCCCTTAGTAAAATCATAAGAGCATATCAAGTCCTCCGTGTCTGCAAAGTTCTACTCTACCTGGCCGCTGCCCTGCCGAGCTCTGCAGACACAGAGGCCTTGATATGCTCTTATGATCTTACTAAATGTGAGTGCAGTTTTACATCTTTTTATTGCTTCTAATAAATCTACACTTGGATGGCGGCGCCCAATGTTCTTTGTTTGCTACTTGGCTGTAGCCATCTAAATACAGATGATTTGCTGACGCTCTTCTCGCACACCTCACACTTGTGGACCCTTTCGGGTTGGGTCATAGGCTTGCTTTTCCAGAACCAACCAGCCACGTGCACAATCCTCATGTGTAGTCTGGTGGATGTTCAGCTGAATGTTCTGCAAGAAAACACTTGCCACACTTTGGACACTGGAAAGGCTTCTCACCTGAGTGAATCTTCTGGTGGGCCTTCAGGTTATAACGATTTGGTGAAGCTCTTCTTGCATACATCACACACATAGCTGACTTTAGTGGCCAGGAGGGGTCTTGATGGAGCAGCAGTTTCACCTCCATCAGCTTTCGATCCAGCCGGTTGTGCTGGTCCTGGCGGTGCTGTTTCAGGGTCAGTTATTTGGGAAAACGGCTGCTGTATTCTGGACATTTGTAAGCATTTTAACCCCTCGCCTACAGGGCACTTATACCCCCTTCCTGCCCAGGATCATTTCCAGCTTTTAGCGCTGTTGCACTTTGAATGACAATTGCGCGATCATGCAACACTGTATCCATATGAAAATTTTTATAATTTTTTTTGTGACAGATAGAGCTTTATTTTGGTGGTATTTAATCTCCTCTGGGTTTTTTTTATTTTTTCTTAAACCAAAAAACACTGAAAATTAAAAAAAAAAATTTTTTTTCTTAGTTTTTGTTATAAAATTTTTGTAAATAAGTGATTTTTCTCCTTCACTGATGTGCGCTAATGAGGCTGCAGTGATGGGCACTGATAGGCTGCGATAGGTGGCACTGATGGGCATTGACAGGCATCACTAATAGGCACTGAAAGGCAGCACTGATAGGTGGCACTGACTGGCACTGATAGGCGGCACTGACTGGCATTGATAGGTGGCACTGACTGGCACTGATGGGTGACACTGAAAGGCAGCTCAGATGGGCAATGATATGTGGCATTCATGTGGCACTGAAATGTGGCACTGATGGGCACTGGCAGGTGGCATGGATGAGCACTGAGAGCTGGCACTGATGGACACTGACAGGTGGCACTGCTGGGGCTACACAGATCATCAGGGCACACTGATCATCAGTGCTCTGATGATCTGTGTACATATCCCCTCCGAGGAATGCCGATTACCGGCTCTCCTCACGAGCTGTCAGTGTGACAGCTCGTGGGGAGAGAAATGCCGATAACTGGCATTTCCCTGTTTACATGTGACAGCTGTGATTGGACACAGCTGATCACATGACCGAGCCGACATCTTCGGCTCTTTCCGTGGATTGGTGATCCGCTGTGTCCAAGGGGACACAGCGCGTGCCGATCGCCGTGCTGCGTGCCCTGGGAGCCTCTCATGCGCGGTTAGAATGAGAGGACGTCATATGACGTCCTCCCAGAAAGAGAGAACTACCTTGCATCCGTCATATTACTATATGGTGGGTGGGAGGTGGTTAATCTGTGTGTAACCAGCAGTGAGATTTCAGGTAGTCACCTTCACAGAAAACCTTACCGCAGTCCTGGCAGATGAATGGCTTTGCTGTGGAGTGAACCTACGTGTGGCTCAGTAGAAAGGAATGGCTGAGAAAGGCTTTCTTGCAAATTTTGCAGGGAAATACCAAGTCAGCTCTTTGCAGATTAAAGCTTCGGAATTCACTCTCTCAATCAACATTGACTATTGTTTAATCTTGTGCTGCTAGCATTAGTAAATAGATAGGAAAGTACATTATATTTACTTATTTACATTTTTTTTACATTTCTTCAGTTACTTCCTGGTTTCCAGGCCTAGGCAAATGATGTCATACATCCCACAGGAGTTTTCAGGAGGGGAGGAGGGGTTTCTCAGCTAAGAACACCCGGTTAAGGGCAGATGGATTCCAGGAGTAAAAGCTACACAATCATCTTCCCTTACTCAAGATGGATATGACCAGAAATGCCAGGCAGCGTTTTTCAAAGTGAATTCTTGGCAAAATAAAGCATGGAGACACGGGTGGATGGGGGAGTTTGCTCTGATTATTAAAAATGAATGAAATAGCATTTTGGGCTTGTGGTGCTCAGATGCAGTGCAGTTCCACTTAAATATCATGATTCTCAAGAGCTTCAATAATGATGGAAACTGAATTTCTCTTTCCTGATAATTTCTTCTGGGATGCGCCATCATAACCATTCATTAACCCCTAGCCTACAGGGCACTGTAACCTTTCATTAAAGGAGTACCCAACCAAATGTGAATGTTTACATTCATTTTATCTGCCTGGTCACCTCATTAACATACACATGTCTTTGCTACCGTTTTGGCGAGGAGCTTTGGCGGCGATGTGTGCGCTCTCTTCATGGTTGGTGTATTGTGGAGGTCACTGACTGCTTACACTTCACAGTTCATACAATCTGCGGGAAGAAATGGCTGTCAGTAACTCATTATAATTGTTCAATTTCACATGGAATGACCCTTAAATATAATGAGAAATAAAGCTGATCTCTAGGCTCTACCTATCTCCACCATACCCCTCTGACTGATCGCTGGCCCTTTTTACACATCTAAAGCCGCAGTCACATGATTCTCTCATCCTGAATCTTGCGACTAGAGAATCCAGATTACAGGAAGTGGAGTCCTTCGGGTGTCCATGTCACTGCTCGTGTGATGATGACGACACTTCCTATTGGTTTGTCAGTGGCGTGGTTCTCCAAAAACAAGAAGAAGTAGGAAATCAGCAAAAGGGACCTCTTGGGATCCAGGCTGGATGGCCGCATCAGCAGACTTTAATTAGCGCTCCCCCCACTCCCAGAAATGGCATCGGTGAGAGAGTGCAGGATGGGTTAGAGGGGATGAATAGTTGTCTGAAGATAGGCAAGCTTTTATTGTTTTTATCTACCTTTTTTATTTATGTTACAGAGGCCATGTGTGATCAGGACACACTGGGAAAATCTTTGGCAGGCTTAAGGTGAAATTTTGGGCAAGTTGAACCTGTTCTGGGCGGCTGGCACAGACATGCTAAGTGATGTACTTGTACGTCACTTAGCACATGCGCATTGGCGCACCACTCCCTCAGGGGACACAGCGGATTGCGGATCCTGGTAACCAGCCACTATGAGACGCTGGGGTGTGTCAGGTGATCGCATAGCAATCACATGATCACGTCAACAAAACTGTTATGAATGAGTTTAATTCACAACAATTGTGCTTAGCATTGTAATGCTACGAATGGCCCACAGCTATCACATGGAACCTGAGCCAATCACAGCCCTTTATATGTACCATGTGATCACAATACTAAGCACATCTGTTATGAATGTAACCCATTCATGACAGTTCAAAAAACGTTGTTACAGTGATCATTATTGTACCAGCAATCAAAGTGTAAAAAAAAAAAAAAACAAATCTCTGATCACCTCACCAGAGAAGTACAGAATCACCAGTCATATTATGGCACTGCACTGTTCTAGTGACAGTATGTAAAAGAAAAAAAATGTATTAAAAATTTCAAAATTGTGACAAAAAAATGTAAACTTTCTGTGCTTTTTACTAAAATACCTCAGACTGTCCACTTTCAAAAAAGGGGTCATTTGGGGGATATTTGTACTGTCCTGGCATTTAGGGATCAATAAATGAGAGGCCGTCAGTACATCAGGATTGAGCCATTTTCACATATATATCCCATAGTTTGTAGACACCAGAACTGTCACACAAACCAATATACACTTATTGGGATTTGTTTTTACCAAAGACACAGCAGGATACATTTTGGCCTACAATTATGAAGAAGTTTGATTTCATTGGACAGGTTTTAGAACAGAAAGTAGAAAATATCATTTGATTTTCAAAATGGTCAATCTTTTTTTGTTTACATAACAAAAAATAAACCCAGTGGTGATCAAATACCACCAAAAGAAAGCTCTATTTGTGTGAAAGAAAAATGTAATAGATTTTATTTGGTACAGTGTTGCATGACCACACAATAACCAGTTGAAGTAGTGCAGTGCTGAAAAGCACAAAATGTCCTGGTTATGAAGGGGGTAAAACCTTATGGAGGACAAGTGGTTACAAGACGTCCATCAGACACAGTACTGAACACAATATTGGTGCTAGACATGTTTTGGAGTGTCACTCACCCAGCTCCTGGGGGTCATCTTCCTCCTTCACACCTATCAATAGGAAGTCAGAGCTGTGAGCAGGGAATTCTGGGAATAAAATGACAGTTATAATTCAGGCTCCAATAACAAGGTGTCAGCAAGTTTCTAAAAAGGCTAAAACTGAAGTTTCATAGATGTATATTTTTCTGTCCTAGTTTCCTCCCTCCTCACTTATTAACACGCTAATAACATGTTACATGAAACCTTTGTTTGTTTCATTACACATCTTATTTTACATCTAGTGATGTCATCACTGCGTCTCTGTGCTTCTTCATGCAATTCAGGCAGATCATGGCTGGTGGGAGGGGCCTGCAGGGTGCTGTGCATAGCTTCCTGAAAACATCACAACACCCCGTACTCCTCTCAAGAGCCTTCCATTATGATGAAAACAGGGGGCTGATCTCTTGGGAGGAGTTATGCAAATATATAAATGCCTTGATGGGTGGACATCAGTGTGGAGGAGTGGGAGTTCCCAGAAAGAATGTATTTGCATGCAGACCACTCTAGGTAATGCCCCGTGATGGTGAGCCTCCATGATTGAAAGAACTTAAAGTGGTTGTAAACCTCAGACATGACAAAGGAACAAAGCATTTCCCTCTATAGGGTGTACTTGTCTCAATCCAGAGCACTAAGGGTCATTTCTGCCTGCTGTTTCATTCCTCTGCTATCAGCACCAGTCACTTCTCACAAGTTTTCCTGACACCAAGAAAAATATGGTGATGGGGAGGGACCTCCAGCAGAATGACAACCTCAGCTCTGTTCCTGTGAGCTGTGTGTGTGGGGGAAAAGGGGGGGCGTCTCTTCCCTCCAATCAGCTCTCCTCACTGAGCTCTGCAGAGTGTAACTTCAGCTCTATACGCCCCCTTTTTTGTGAACGCTCAGACAAGCTTTACCAATTAAGAACTTTGAACAGATGTAGAGAAGAGAAGAGGAGACTACAGATAGTATACAGATACAGCGCGGTGATTTGTGGTGAGCTGTGTCCCTTGGAGACAACTAATCACCAATCAGGGTAAAGAGACAATGACAATGGCTTGGCTCTCTGCTTATCCCCCCCCCCCCCCCCCCGATTGTACCCCCGTGAGATCCGGAGATGGGGCATGTGCACATCCCACGGGAGGAGGAGGGGGGGGACTGTGAACCTCCCCTGGATAGTGTGTACTCCACCCATCATTACATATCCCCCAATGTATCATCACTGCACTCCACCCAAAATCGGAAAGATTTTCAGCAGCTCCCACAAAACTGAAACCATTAAAAATGTTCATTAAACATCTCATAGATGTGGTCGCCTTCCAAAGACATTGCAAGCCATGTGGATATACAGCAAATCCATAGTGACAATCAATCACTCTACCCAAAATTCAAAACAATAAACACCTCAATATATGTGATCACCTTCAAAAGACATTGTGATCCATGTGAAAAAATCTTAATTCTCAATCGCTCCACATTAAAATGAAAAATAAATAAATAAACAAACAGCCCATTTATGTGGTCCCCTGCCAAAGACATTGCAATCCATCTAATGCATCGTGATTCTCAATGGCTCTGCCCAAAACTGAAACTATTAAAACACTCCATATATTTGGTCACCTTCAAAAGACATTGCAGTCCATGTGAATATCCAACAAACCCATCTTGATTCTCAATCGCTCCATCCAAAATTGAAAACAAAAAAAACACCCCATAAATGTGATCACCTTCCAAAGACATTGCAATATACATGAATATCCAGCAAATCTATTGCGATTCCCCATATATGTGGTTACCTTACAAAGATGTTGATTTCCTGTGAATATCCAACAAATCCATCATGATTCTCAATCACTCCACCCAAAACTGAAAATTAAAAAACACTCCATATATGTATACGACTTCCAAAGACATTGCAATCCATGCGAGTATCCAGCGAATCCATCGTGATT